CTACTACTACTAAACGCTCCTATATCGCTACCGCCCCATTACATATACTACATATACTCATACACCGACGATGCGGGCGGAAATTCTATTAATCTACACTTTTAATAATATGCTAGCACTAGCACTGAATCTATACCAAGGGCTTCCTATAGCTACTACGTTGAAAGTACACACAAGAATGTATATCACGTACAACGAAACCTTTAACCTGATACAGCGCTATACGGCTTCTTATGGTTCTTACGATGAAGGTACACTACACACATGTATATGTAATTTTTTATAACATTATCAATGCTCTAGTCTCATGGTGTGCCTATAACAACTGTTTCGACACACTTTGGACATATCGTTAAGGGCCAAAAAGTGCGTTCGATCTCGAATCTGATTGGCTACGAACCAACGCGATCAATTAGAATTTGGAAATATGAAAAATACTCCTAAATACAAAATACTACCACTATGTACCATGTATGTATTTACTAAAAGAACAGCTATATTTAGGTGGTCACTACTAGTAGAGTCCTACTGGTCACCGACTCAACATTTGTAGATGCGTGCTATTCTGTAGGAAGAAGTTGTGTCAATAGTAGGGGGGCTTATGGGGTGTGTGCATATTTACTGTAAATATAGTATTTTCATCATTTCCGACGGCCCTCTGGAAATGTCTTTGGATGAAAATAAGACAATTCCAGAGGGCAATGACAAAAAATATTAAATAAATATCACAAGTTCGCAACTCTTGAACTCTCTCACACACAATATGTAGTATTACTATTTTTTGATATTGTTTTTTTAAAACAAAATATGTAAGTTTGTCTTTATATGTATATTGTTAAAGACGCTAAATATATAATAACGTGTTGATTTGTAAGCTTTTTTACGTTTTAAATATGTATTGAAGTCAGGATAGAAGGAAAGGAGTTCAGACTTGAGAGTTTGAGACTTGAGAGTTTAGACTTCAAAGTTCAAACTCTCCAAGTCCATCACAAACCTTTTTACTATTTGAACTACTATGTATTTATATATAAAACTTGGTTCATCATCATGATATGATCTCATTGACACGAAATGATGTTTCCCTTCTCCGGACCAGTATACGTAGTAATGAGCTGAGACTCGAGTGAGTCCGAAACTCGAAAGTCCGAGACTTGAGAGTTCAAGGCGAACTGGACTTCACCAGCGAGTGGCGGCGACAGTCGGACAGTGTCGGTCAGCCCCCAGCAGTAAAAGTCCAGACTCCACTCACCAGTCACCAGTCACCACTGTCCAGTCACTTATTTATGTCCACAACTCCACATTCCACTGTTCCACTCCCTCAGTCCCACATGCCCCTACTACTACTACTCTCTCTCGAGAACTCTATGCTCTTATAATTGACAGCCTGACACTACAGTAGCTCTCTAGAGAGTGTCCCAGTCTCTTGTCCAAAAGACTCCAGACGACGCCAGAGTCCAGCGTCAACCTTCAGGCTTCATCCAATTCATGCGCTGGGCGCTCTACGCTGACGCTCCCATCAGGTAAATATTTATTTTAAAACATATTAGAAATATATACATAAATATCTTTGGGGCGGGGGTTGTTTTATTATAAATTTAACACCATTTTTTTTTCTGTTTAAAAAAAAAGCGCGCTTTTCGCTCGACAAGAAGTTCGAAGTATTTAGTATTTACAGTCTAAAATGATACTGAACGAGACTGTTCACTGTTAATGTCAAGTGAAAGCATAAACAGTTAAACACTACCCACTGCGCGGTGATATTTGTGGCTGGTGGTGATTCTAAAATTAAATCTGTGACATATACATCGGTATCAGCACCTGACTAATGTTCGCCAAGACTTGGCTAGTAAAAGCTAAGACTCAGGACAATTGATAGGGTATCAAAGATACTCTTGGATAACATATGCCCGACTTTTTCGATATATGTTATAATGACTTTGTCACCTGCTGCTGTGTATATACTCCGCTCGACGACGACTACCGTATACAAAAAATATCACTACTATATGATCAGGTTTCAGATCTGCCATTCAGCTCTACTCAATTTCGGATGAATCTATTACGCGAATTCATGAGTTGATTGGAGATGTAAAAACTTCAGGCTAGTAGTAAGCGTATATAATAAACATAACCCTATCTTCTTTGTAATGTACCTTCCAGTACGTTTTTCAGTTTACGCTTAGGCACAGCTGGAGAGGTCTGTGACGAGTATTACAAAGATGGATCGTTTACAATCCAGGAGTCGGTAAAGTTGTCGATTGGCTCATTTTCCATCATGTATTCTTACAATATACATAAAGTGAATATTCACAGAAATAGGAACACTAGTAGCGGGGCAACGCCGAAGAGACCCGCACCGCACTTTGTGTTCGATTGCATTGCAGTGTAAGGTGTAGTGTAGTGTTGTGAATGGACGTACGCATCTGTACAGCGGAGTGGATTTGCAGCTAGCATTGTTACGTATATATATATAAAATTGCTTCTAAAATTCCTCTCTCCATCATAGCCTCATATAGACGTGTTTGAATCAGTATACTGCCCATGGGATGAAAAGCTACCTGCACCTGGACCCATCAATCTACATACTAGCTCGTCGTTAGATTGGAGTTTCCATTGGTTGAACGGGTGTCTGTACCACTGTACGTTTTAAATTGAAACAGTGAACGCTAATCATCAGTATCTAATAGAGGGATACATACATAATTAGTGCCATTAGGCTCTCAAGTCTCATCAACTCTTTCAAGTCTCAGTTTGAAGTATGTATTTACATATACAAGTTGGAAGTCGAGAAGTCATATATGGTGAGGAAATAAGCTCCATATAAATGAGTAAATAAGCGCCATGAAAAAATTGCCACAAATGTAGTATAGCTGGGGTGAGAAAATAATTTCAGGCGTTGATTACAATTACACATGGACGGAGTGTGGTTTGTTTTATTTAGAAATTTAGCAATATTGCTTTAGAATAAATACAGGTCATATAAATAATCTAAATCTATAAGGGTATACTGCTAGTGATACTGCCTCCTGTATCTTTATATATACAAAATATAGATATCGTTCAAATAGCTATATATACAGTTATACCTTCTTTTCTATACGAATCTGTATATACAACGATCTCCCTGTCGTTGATCACAGCCTCTTCGGGATCGCTTGTTAAGTAATATTGGTAAAAGATAAACTTGCAGTATACATAACAGTACATACCCATCGCAATACCTTTACATTCATATTTACATATACATATATAAATACACAATAGATACATCATGTCGACAAGTTTGCAGAAGCAATTGCAAAAAATCGCTGGATCGGCTACGGCAGTCCATCGTAGTGCCTCGAAAAAGCAGGTCTCATTCCTCTACGACAATACTAATGATATTGTTAACACAGATCTTGAGACTATCTACGCGATGGC